CTCGGGAGGCTGAGGCAGAAGGATTGTTGCAAGTTCAAGACCAGCCTGGGCTACAAAGTGAGCTCCAACGCCATCATCAACTGCATGGCAAGACCGTGTCTCAAAAAGACAAAAAAAAAAAGGCTAGCTTGGACTACATAGCTAGACCCTGTCTCAAAAAATACAAAAACAAAAACAAAAAACCCTCTTAACAACTATCAACCAGTGGCCAAATCCTATCATTTAATCTACATCCACTCCTTACTGCTCTCCAAACTGGATTATTTTATTTTAGTAGTACATCTCTGTTGTACATAAGGATTACATTCATCACAGGGAGTTGGTACACACACATCTTAAGTCTTTTTCCTTCCTCTTTCCCTCTTCCCCCTACCCTCCCTTTGTCTCTAGAACCCCAGCTGGATTATTGTAAAGCAAATGTCAGAATTATCTTTTCATCTCATCTTGTTTTCTACCTCTGGAGATAAACACGATGCTATTATCATATCTGAAAGGAAAATATGCAGCAAGTGTTCTCAGTTCCCTCAGTGTCTGCATTGTGTCTGTGGTTGTCCTTCCCTTCCACCCAGATAGGGCCCAGATTCCTTGGCGGCTGGGTGGCCTCCTCTGGTTATGCACTACACTTCCTCAGTGGGGAGTGACCTTGAGCCAGGTGACTTAACCTCTCCGAGAAAATTGCTTTCTTCAGCCACAGAATGTACCTGGGAGGACACTATTGTATTCATTGTTAGAAGGATGCATATGGACTGCAGTTGGCCTGCTCCTAGTAAGATGAATTGTCATTATCATTATGTGCTGTCTCCTAGATATATTGCAGGTAACTTGGCAGTAGGTACAATATTTAAACTTGTCCGTATTTTAGTACTTACCAAGACATTTAGCCCTTGTGGGTGATCAGTAACTGTCTTGTTTTGCTTTCTTTTGTTTTACTGGAGATTGAACTCAAGGCCTTCCCACTGAGCTACATTCCGAACCTTTTTTTTATTTTTTCATTTTGAGACAGGTTCTCACTTAGTTGCCCAGGATGAGCTTCAACTTGGGAACTTCCTGCCTCAGCCTCCCACTTTGCTGGGATGACAGGCATATGTCACCATGCCAGTCTGATTTTTTTTTTTTTTGAGATAGGGTCTGTCTATACAGTACAGGCTGGTCTTGAGCTCACTTTGTAGACCAGACTGGTCTTGAACTTGCAACTATCCTCCTGCCTCAGCCTCTGAGTGTGGGATTACAGGCATGCAGCAAGTGTTCTCAGTTCCCTCAGTGTCTGTCTGCATTGTGTCTGTGGTTGTCCTTCCCTTCCACCCAGATAGGGCCCAGATTCCTTTTATTGATACAGGCTTTTCCTTTTATTTCTTTCTCTTGTCTAATTCCTCTGGCTAATATTTCTAGAACTATATTGAGGGCTGGGATGTAGCTCTGGCACAGCACCTGCCTGGCAAGTGTAAGGTCTTGAGTTCGATTACCGGTACCAAAAAAAAAAGATAGAACTATATTAAATAAGAGTGGTGATAGTGGACATCCTTGTCTTGTTCCTAATTTTAGAGTGAATGCTTTCAGTTTTTGTCCGTGTGGTTTGATGTTGGCTCTTAGCTTGTAATAGATGGCTTTTATCAGATTGAGATAAAGACGATCTATTTCAATTTTCTGTAGGATTTTTGTCATGAATAAGAGTTGGACTTTGTCAGATGCTTTTTCTGAATCTATTGAGATGATCAGATGGTTTTTGTCTTTTGTTAATATGGTATATTACATTTATTGATTTGCATATGTTGAACCATCCCTGCATCCCTGGGATGAATCCTGCTTGGTCATGGTGTG